GGCTGGGCTTGGCTTGGCTTGGCTTGGCTTGGCTGGATGTGGCCGCGTTTTTTTGTTTCCTCTGTGTCTGGCTTGGCTCGGCTTGGCCTGACTCGGCTTAGCTGGGCTTGGCGTGGCTGGCCTCGTTTTTTTTTCTCTGCACGGCCCAGCGACTCCCTTAGCCTTCTAAGCAAAACGAAGAAACCAAAAAAAGGCCGGGCAAGCCACAAGCCACACCGGGGTTTAGGGTTTAGAGTTTAGGGTTTAGGGGTTTCGGGAAGGTTCAGTGTGGAGGATTCGGTGCTGAAGGTTTTTTGGGGTTCAGGGTTTTTTTTGGGGGCTTGGGCGGGATATTTGTTTCGCGGGAAAGCAACTTTAGGAAGGGTTTTTGGCATCTCCTCAGGGTTCAGTTATGATGGATGATTAAGATCTAATTTTGGCGACCTGGCCCCAGTAGCCGACCTGGACCCCAAGTGGCTACCAGAGGCAAGAATTGACCGTGCCGGTGACGGGCGAGGTCATCTCGGAGAGTGGGTCCGAGACGAGTGTATGAGTAGAACTTTGCAGGAAGATACTTCTGGTATCTCCTGGTAGGTTCTGAACCAGACCTTGCAAGCTGCAAGAAGAACTTCCTTCTTGTGCGCGAGGGTTCTTTCGGAGCCTGCTAGCAATTTCCCCGCGAATGGCTCCGGCAGCCATTGCGTGGGTTTCCTCGTGCGTGCAAGCGGTTTCAGTGGCCACTCGAGATCTGTGCAGCCGGGATGCCCCCCAATGACCTTCGAGCCCTGAACCTTATGCGTCTGGGGTGTACAAACATGTCGAACCTGCTTTGCATGTTGTGTGTAACAGTGACTTAGACTTAGTAGTGTCTGGTGGGAGCAACATGGCAATCAGCTTCATGATGGTGATATTGATGTTGATGTTGATGTTGTTGTTGATGATGATGATGATTGCGATGGCGGTGGTGATGAAGCTGGACCTGCACCTAAACTCGCAGTGGCCACGTAAAGACGGATTGGGGGAGGTCAGCTTCGGCGTCTCGAAGCTCAAAATCAAGGTACGTAGTTCTGCAGTAGTACATATAGAAGCCTGACAAACTAGCAATACAATGCGCTAGGGTTCCTACTATATCGATAACTTACTATACAGTACTCCAAAACCCTGTTCGAATTATTATGCCCCATACTACAAAATATGACCCCAAGACTGCTAAACGACACCTGACGGCCTCCCAACCCCAAACTCTAAAGACCCTTTCCAGGAACTAAGGGCCCTTTACCAAAACAAAGTACAGCCCTGCACTCTTTTGTGACGTTCGAATCTCATGAAGATCCAAGTGTTATTTGCGTGCAGGGTATCTAAGGTAGTAGGATGAAGGTTTGGTTTTTTGGCTTTGCTAGGGCCTAAGGTATGTAGTCCCAAAACACGTGCAGAAACCCTCACGTCGCACGTTCTTGCAGTCGCCGCTGAACTGCCATCATCTTCCTTTGCGGGAACACTGTTCCACAGCTGCCTGCCTAAGCCCAACACCTTAAACCCTAAACCCTAAACCAAGCCCGACCGAGCCAGGTTGAAAGCTTCAACATTTCGTTTTCTGATTTTCGTAGTGATTACCTTAATTATATCTTATGAAGCTTAGGTCTGATCAAATCATGACTGATCTTCTACACCGCAGTCTTTACTTCCTCCTTCTGGCATAGACCTGGAAGGGCATATAAACCCTAAATCCTAGACCCTAGACTTTAAGTCCTAAACCCTGAACCCTAAGCCCCAACCGGCATGTAATAAAGGCTGTCGCGCTTGTTTGAGCTTGCTTCCTGGCACTGCGTGGAGCTAACAGACTGCCAAACACCAAAGCCCAAACCACTTAATGTACAGGCCTTAATAAGTACCTATACTATTCGGGGGGTTCCTTATTATGAATATAGTATAATATATCCCCGAAACCCTATTCTAGTTGTTAAGGCCCCTACTTTAGACTTGCAGGGTTTAGACTTAAAGCTGACATTTGGGAGTTTCCGAAAATTAGGGACACCTTATTTTGAGGTCCTTATAGTAAGGATCCTAGTCTTTAGGGTACTATTTACTAGGGTCCCCTATTTCGGAAACCCGAATGTAGGGCAGAGAGAGGAAGGCCCCTAGTTGAAGTTGGGAGAGGGCTACTAATGTAGGGGCCTTAAACGGTTTAGGGTTTAGGGTTTAGGGTAATAATTACCTAATTACCTATACTATTTTGGGGGTTCCTTAGTATATTTATAGTATACAGGGCCCCAAAAGCTATTCTAATTATTAAGGCCCCTATATTACGCAACTTTTAGGTTCAGGGCTCATGCTGGAGGCTGAACTATTCGACCAAGATGCACTTAAAACCCTAGACCTAAGCCCTAAGGCATAACATCTCAACCCTAAACCCTACACCC